CCGATATTACCAACCTTATTATACCTAACAACGCTCTCCCTGTCACTCTCGATGTTGCGTCTCTCTACACAAGCATACCGCACTTGGATGGTATAAGATCCGTGGTTGAGGCTTACGATCACTCCGCTCTCGACAAGTCCATTGATAGCTCGACTATAGCTATACTGCTTGAAATGATTCTTCAGTACAACGACTTTGAATTCAATGGAGTGCATTATGTTCAAGTAAGTGGTACGTCTATGGGTACTAAGATCGGGCCATGCTATGCGAATATATTTATGGGATCCCTTGAGAACAAATTCTTGTCGGGTCGTTCGCTAAAACCTTTTTATTACAAAAGATTTATTGACGACATATTCATGATTTGGACACATGAAGAGGAGGAACTTTTGTCTTTTATTTCGGACTTTAATAATGCTCACCCTTCCATATCCTTTTCGCACACATATTCACCAGAGACCATTAACTTTCTCGATGTCACAGTAAGTCTCGCTAATGCAAAATTAAGCACTAAACTGTACCGCAAGCCGACTGACAGACACAGGTATTTACACTTTCAAAGCAGCCACAAAAGGCACTGCAAATCCAGCATACCTTACAGCCAGGCCTTACGCTTTAAGCGAATTTGCTCTGAGCAATCTGACTTTGATAATAACTGTAACCAGCTACGCACTGCACTTCTTAAACAGAAATATCCACCCAAGTTAGTCGATGACGCAGTAAGGCGTGCCGACGCACGAGACCGTACAGCACTCTGCATCCCCAAGAAAAATCCTAAAAGTCATTCACTGGTTAACCTGGTTTTAACCCATAACGCATCGGCACCTAACGTCGCGTCTATTTTCCGTAAACACCACAACATACTTATGCAGAGCAAACGCCTTGCAAAAGCGTTTCCAGAACCACTACGTGTTGTGTACAGACGAGGCAGAAATTAGCGAGATTTATTAACTTCCTCTAAAACCAGACAACGCAGTAACGACCAGGCGCTTGGTTGCCGTCCTTGTAAAAAGCCCCGCTGTAAAGTGTGTGCCCACATGACCACAACAACACTGGCAGCCAGTACTGTGACGAACTTCAAGTTCAAAATTAAGGGCAGTTTTACTTGCGATACTGCAAATGTCGTATATATGCTAGAATGCTCAATCTGTCATTTACAATACATAGGTCATACTGAAGCTGCTTTTCGATACCGTTTCAATAATCATAAAGCTCATGTGCATGACCTTCCTAACTTGCCGATTTCAAGGCACGTCACCGAGGCAGGTCATTCATTCAGTAACATGATAGCTACAATTTAGGCTTAATTTTCTTTCCCAACTTCTTCAAAGACAAACAGCACTTGACCCTACACAGTACCTGACACCCATATCATATCGACAAGGCATACGAGACACCATCACCCCGGAACCCTAACACCTTATTTTGCACGGACAGATGCATTTAGAGAGAGAGAGGAAACTTTATTAGAACTTGGCCGGCAGCTTGGTCTTGGTGGCCTCAGATGGCGGCGCTGAGTCCCTGAACTCGGGCGGCATCTTCAGCCTGCCGGACAGCCCAGAGCTGGTCGTTGAGCTCCGAGCTTCTGAGCGCCGCCTCCCAGCGGCGGCGTCGCCGACGGAGAAGGTCCCCCGCGGCTCCCGCAGACGGGACGGCGGCGGGAACGAGTGAGCTCGAGGCTTCCTGTTGCCTGGTATTGGCAGCCGCCATAGGCGCATCGCGAACGGCGGCCGTTTCTCGACCATTGTTACCGGCGCATTCCCAGAGCATGTGGCGCAGCGTTGCTCTGTGCCCGCATGCTTTACATAGATCGGTAATGTGTAAGTGCGGGTAGCATTTAAATTTTCTTTTTTTCCACGAACAGTGGAAGAATGGAACCTTCTAAAAGACTCTGTTTAATGATTCACTTTGGTTGATTTACTGTGTGTAATCAGTGTGCTGGGTGTCTAAACCTGTACTTGTATGTTGAATTCTTCCCTTTTTTCTTTTCTACGTGACTTGAGTGCCTAACATGTACTTGCTACTTGTATACCGTGCCCACCTGCTTGGACCTGTGAAGGTCTGCAGTATGCATTAAATAAATAAATAAACAATACTGGAATCGGGTTTTAAATCACACCATGAACGCGAAGTAAAAGAGTCATTTTTAATTCGTAAATTCAAAACACTATCTGCCGGCATGAACGAGAGCCCGGGTACGCTTACTTGCATATTGCCTTAGTAAATCGCTTTTTTGTTTTACTGACAAGTGTATATTCTTTGCACGATGTTGGCCTATTGTCAAATATTACCTACATAATGTAGGTGGCCTTTGTCGCTTCACCATTTTACTCCCATTCATTTTGCTCTGCCTGCTTTGTGATTTCGTTTACCTTTTTTAAAGGCTTATTTAATGTTTTTAGGCTGTGATTATCCCGCAGAACGCATGACCAAGTGAGCTACTGCGTGCGCAGTCTGTTATTTTGCAGACCTGTTTCATTCCACACAAGTTGTAGGGTATCTAATACGTGCCAATTCACTATTGTATAATGATACGCGTTTTCAGCTGTATACGCACTATAGCCACGTACCTTTGGTGATATATAATCTTGTTTCTTAAACTACTGATAATGACTTGGCCGTGTGATACGCAAAAAAGCGGCTTATATATGTGCCCTGTGTGCTATATGTGTAATGTGTAACCATTCACTCCGACGAAGGCAGGCCCACCTGCAGAAACGTTAGTAAAACTAGTGTTGTTTCGCACGTTTGTCGACCTCTGTTTTTCTACCACACACACACACATATATATATATATATATATATATATATATATATATATATATATATATATATATATATATATATATATATATATATATATACGGCTGGATATTTTTTCATCCACTTTTCTTTCTTCTTATTTATACATTTTATTGGTTTTAATAACTTCCCCTGTACATTCCTTCGCATTACTGTCTGTTAGATCTTATATATATATATATATATATATATATATATATATATATATATATATATATATATATATATATATATATATATATATATATATATATATGCAATAATACAGATAAATGGGAGCCAGTGCTCTAAACCGACAAATATGAAAAGAGCCCGGCCAAGAAGATCGAGAGCGCATGTGTGGGCGCAGAGAGCAAGTTCCTCGTCGGTTAAAGCTACTCAAGGCCCCATTCACACAGCCCGAGGGAGGGCGTGCAGACGCAGTCAGGCCATTATTTACAAATCATCTCAGCCTTTATCACGTACTGCCGCTTATTTCTAAATTGCTTGTTTTTCACAATAAAACTTGTAAGTGAACGCTCATCTCCTTGTCCCTACCTCCCGTGTCTTCCTTTGCTGTGTAATGACATTCAAAGTGGAGTATACTAAGCAGCTCGTGCTCGAACAATGCGACATTTGCTTAACCATGCGCGTAGCTCGAAAACTTGCCAAAACAGAAGAGACCAAAACAGGCTCCAACTTTCAAAAAATTTTGTTTCGGAGTGCGAACGCATATATACGCTCAAAATGCGAGAAAACAAAGAAAAACCATTAGAGATCACCCAACTGCCATGCGCGAACATCTAGTTACAACGCAGGGAAAGTTCATCCCCATTTACACAGCCCGACGGAGGGCGTGCAGACGCAGTCAGGTCCTAATTTACAAGTCCTCTCAGCCTCTACTTCTATTGTTATTCAATTTTTGTCTTACAATGATGGTCTCAAGCAAAAGCGCAGCTTTCAGCCACACGTGCTTCAGTGCGAAACCGAGAAAGCATCGCGATATATCGATAATGACGTTACAAGCATGTTCCCAGAGCACGTGATTAGGAGCGGCCAGTTTGTCTTATGTAATGCTTGCTAAATGAAAGAGGTATCTGATGTTTGTCGCACGCGTGACGAATAGATTTTCGCCCGTCATCCAACAACGCTGTTTTGCGTTTGAAATGAAGATTCATGTTGCACAAGTATAGGACAGCTTTGTCGGGGCAAAAAAAGCAATCTTTTCTCTGGCCCGCTGCGACATTGTGCAGATGGTGGGATACTCCGTGAATACACAGTACTGCGACAAGCTTGTGGGCCTACTGAATATGGGGAAGAGCTTGTCCTGAGAATTGAAGCTTCATCGTCACAGTTTCCGCTTCTGAAACCTGTAAATCAGACGACGGGTAGCCAGCAATAGAAAGTCGCACAGCTTGCTTATAAAAAATGCTTTTCGTTTGCTCTTTTATTACGGCGTGGTGCCGCAGATGACTACGTTCCACGTCGGCTTGTTTAGATGAACTTCTCTCTCTAAGTGGTTCTAAGCCCCGCCGTGGTGGTCTAGTGGCTAAGGTACTCGGCTGCTGACCCGCAGGTCGCGGGTTCGATTCCCGGCTGCGGCGGCTGCATTTCCGATGGAATCGGAAATGTTGTAGGCCCGTGTGCTCAGATTTGGGTGCACGTTAAAGAACCCCAGATGGTCTAAATTTCCGAAGCCCTCTACTACGGCGTCTCTCATAATCATATGGTGGTTTTAAGACGTTAAACCCCACAAATCAATCAATTATTCATGCGCTCGCAGCCAATTTTAATGTAAGTGCGCTACCACTCCACTTATTTATGACGTGTGCTGCCATCTCTCGCCTATACACAGTAAACAACGTCACCTTCGAGATCGTCGCCGCGTAGCACGTTTTTGTTGTTGTTGGCACGGTTCGGTAGGCTGTCGACAGCCGGCTGTGCCGGCCCGCATGAAATCGTCGAAACCCCACGAACGTGATCGCGTGAGGGCGGCGTCCTTGGGGGGCAGGCCCTTCTGTCACCACTGGCAGAATGGGTGTGTACGCGAAAAGCGGCGCCGCGGCAAGCTTCTAGCGCACGCGGAGCAGCTGGGTACAGCGGCGGCCTCTGCCGATCCGCGCTGCACCCGTTGACAACCGTGCGCGCCCACGGGTTCGCGCGCGCGCGCGTAGACGGTCACCGGCGTGCGTTGTTTTGTCGCAAGTGTTTGTTGTTGTGTCTGACGCTACTTCGGTGCGTCTTGGTGTGTGGTTGTGCCAAATTCGTGGTGATACAATGAAGCTTCCACGATGAAGAGGAACGAGAGTGGAGTATCCCGCTTCGGATCTTTCTTCCGTCGGCGGACGCTGCGGCGGATACGAGACAGCACCGACAACGACGTGAGTTCGCTGCGTGTCTCTGCTCGATCGCGATGCGCGCGCATGTGGTTTGTATCAAAAGGCGGCTGGCTTTGGTTCAATGCATCCGCGTATAGCGGCGGCTCATTTTATTTGAGGCAACCCCCCGCTGCAGCTGTCTGTGTGGGCCCGAGCCGGCTCTCTGTTTTAATAGCTGGCACCGTGCCCGGCGCTTTCGGTCGTCCCAGTCGATGCGAGATGTGTGTTGTGACGGCGCTCACAGCCGTGCCGGCTAGATCCGTGCGGCCGGGCATCCCAGCCGTGTTTCGTAACAGATCGCCGTCGATGTGGTAGTGAGCCGCGAACAGGCCGTCAAGAACACCAGAGTCAAACTGCGTAGACAGGAAATAGTTTGCATAATGGATGGTGGATAACGAATCGCGACTTCATCTAACACACGCGCGCAATTGACTTGTTACCGCTGTTGTTAATTCGAGTACTACAAGCGTGGTGACCGCAGCTTGTTCTTCTCGTACCACTTGATTTCGAGCGTGCGCAAACTAGTCTGATATGCGTGCGTCACGTTTGAATCAGCCTTCCCCGCCCACCTTTCTGAAAGCGATCTTTCAGTCGCGTATTCCGGTATTTCGGGTTGTTCGTCTTACAAGGGCGTTCAGCTTAAATAAACGCATTCCGCGACACTGTGATGCTCGAAGACAATGGTGACGGAAACGTACACGATTCGCAGAAGGCTGAACAAATCACCCACCGGAGCAGTGGCGAGTACCTTGTTCATATTTCACTTTCTTTGCTTGTCTCGTTTGGGGAATTTCTCGCTGGACTGATGGGCATTTTCCGCTGCAAGCCAATGGAAAGTTCTCGTCGCACGAAAGCCGTACGGTTAGTTCACGCGTGGTTTAAATAAAATGTAAATAATTTTTTTCAGTTCCGTGTTCGTTGATTTGTTAGATGCTTGTATGTTAATTCTAAGAGTGGTGGTGCACAGCTAATACAGCATAAACTGTGCCGAATGCTGTACACTCGCGAACGTCTGCAACTATGCAATGACAATGATCCTTCACTTCAGGAAACGAGCTCAGCTGCTTACACTATTGTATGGCAACCTACATGAAAAAAAAAAAAAAGCTTGACACGGGTATCGTGTACATCTGGTTCACAGCATTGTTTTTGTTATTTCCGAACTACTGTAGAATATCCTCATCGGAAGCTCGACTAACATTTCTTTTTGCTTACGAACGAATATTGTTTAACAGTTTCACTTCTATTGCTGCAGTGTACATGCAATACAAATATTTGGTTATCCCAAATTTGTCGTCCGATAAAGTGTAGCATTTGAGTTTGGTTAGACAATACGAGACAGTCAATAATGACATCACGTTTAAGTCAATAATGACGTCGAGCTAAATTTTCCTGTAAAAAACAAATATTTTCGCGCCTAACTTTGTGTGATGTAATGAAATTCGTAATGCAAGTGATCAATAATTTTAAAAGCTGCTTTGGCCACACTGCAAACTTGGTGCGCAATGTGGCAGGTGACAATTACTGTTGAGGGTTGCATAAAAAGATAGCCGTGTCTGTTTACTTACCGCAACACTGGTGGTCGCGCTTTGTCAGTGTTGTCTATAAACATGAACAGAAATTTCAGAGTGTAAGTTACGCCATATTTAAGTTGAATTACTGCGTCTATTGTATTGGCAAAAAGGGCAATGAAAAGACTGCTGCCTGAAAACGATGCTTGGAAACAGCACTCCAGCCGTTTAACCACTGGCATATGAGACTTTGATCGAAAAATATTTAGAATACCCAGCTGTAGTATGGGATCCCTATACCGTGCCTAGCATTAAAAAAATTTGAGAGGTTTAAATAAAATCTATAGTTTTTTTATATAATTGTTAAGCTGGCAGACGTCACCTTCACAAGGCGTTTCAACTATTACCGCAGAAGGCCTAACTTAAAAAAAAAATGAAAATGCGGTATGGAAAGGCTCTAAACATATGTCTTCCCAATCGATTCGCAATTACAAGGCATCGTAAGCCAAACCACCATCTGAATGGGCAGTACACTCGTGGCATTAAAAAGAAATGAGATTTGATAAATCTCGCACACACACGCACACTTTTTTCCCCCAGAACAGCAGCAGGTCAGTCGAACTGTCTGTTGACTAGCCGGTATAACAGAATGTACTACAAATTCATTTTTAAATACACTCTGTAAGCTGCTCTAAACTCATACTTTTTCCTACAGTTATTTCTTTTAGAGTTTTGTTTATTTTGACCTATTAAAAAGAGCGTAGAAGGATGAATTCGGCTGTAACAATGTTGTTCTTTGTGTTCAATGGTTTCTCTGATAACTATGCCTTCGTTCCACTGTTAGTTGTTTTTGTACCATTGTTTTGCTTTTACAGTTAAGCATTTCATTGTAAGGAATAGGCGTTTCTCTGTATGCAGCAGTAATTAATTTGGTCACTATGTCTTTGTAACTCTGTAGTTATTGTTTAGTCAGATAAAATTATGTATATCCCCTCCTGCTTGTGGCTTGGAACGCAAGCTGGCAGCGTGTAATAAAAAAATAAATATCTGTGAAGTATAGCTGTAAGCGAATAATAACAAAATTAAACGCACACTGTTAAATTAATGAACTATTTTGTAGATATTGCATTATCAGTCATCGTCACCAGCGTTTGTTGGATTCACGGCGGCAAGGAGGTGCAAATGCACATTCACTAAGTAAAAAGAAAAGCGTGGCTCTCAATTTTCTTTTTTACAACAAGTGGAGCTTTCGGCTAGGCTAGCTGTTTCCCCAAATTCTTGGTTATTTTTGTTTACCCGCGCTTGGTCTTCATTCAGGGCGGGGATGGCGTCAGTTGGCGAGGGCTTACCGCGTCGCCATCGCGCGGAATTATCGCTGTGGCGTGCAAAGTTGTATTGCGCGGCCAGCCATCAACCGCTTAGCTGCCACTTTCGTGGCTGCTTCTGGTTGTTGTTTTTTTCATTCGATGCAATTTCTAAATAAATCACAGTGTCATCAGTCGTAGACAGCGCAAGACAAGGTAAAGAACTGTTCAGACGAGTTCACTGCCGTTGTCGTCTGCTGCGGTCACCGATGGATTTTTGAAAATCTGTTTAGGCGCAATAGCATGCTTGTAGTAAAGAAATACAATTAGAGGATGCTCGAGCTTCGCCTTCAAGAGTAGAGGTGGCGATAGCGTTATCGGGCCTCGTTCGCATCTCCTTCTGAAATGCTATAGCCCGATTCGGTTTTCGAACGTGCTGTAAGAAACGAACGACTGTGCGCGTAACGGTGGCTGTTTCAAAGCCTTCAAGAATGCCTATTGCAAGCACAACTGTCAATTGCCCACCGCGCCATAACTGTTCATTTTGCGAACAAGCTAAGGACCGACTGGACGCGTCCGTCGACCAGCTAGCACGCGAACCCACACGGCTATTCACTTCGTTGGTGGTTGTGCTGCGGATGCTGATTAAAGATGTCAGAGCGCCTTGTAATTACTCGGCCTTTAAAACACCCTCTCGTTGCTCAATTCACGCCTTTGGACGCCTGGCGCGATTACACGCTTCTGCGACGTAAATTGTGATGCGTCAAGGACGCTTCTTCCGCTACGTGACATTCATATAGTGTTGTTTAAAGATACTTTTAACAAATATTGTGATAGAGCGCCTGTCTGCACACGCAGACGGCCTGTCATGGGTTCGAGCCTTATTGAGACCCGGAAATTTCTATTCTTTATTTCATTTGCACCTTTCCCGATTTCGTGGTCACGGACAAGTTAATCATTCTGCGCTCACAACCAACGACGCCGACAACCGCGTCAATGCTGGAATTCGTGCGAAACGAGTTTTTAACGCTATCGCGTGATCATATACGCTCCTGCTGTGAGAATGACGTGCATCATGTGTAACACGATTTGTGTCTAAATAGGTTTGCATGAGCAAATAAGTCGTTTGACACGCAAATGATGTGGCATGTGGCATTCGCGAATGCGTATTCCTATTTATATAGAACGCATGTTTCCCATCAGAGCACGGCACGCGAGTGGGCAGGCTGTTGCGCACGTCATTTACAGCTATCCGACCGTTTTAAGCAAACAGACGTGAGCTATATGCGCGTCCGCACGTCCGTGAGGTTCTAATGGTTATACTTCGTAGCTTGGCAACATTTTATGTTTTTTACGCCGTCGATAACTTTGCGCCCAATTTGTAAGCTTATGTAGTTTCTATAACAATGAACGGGAACTGGGCGCGAAAACCAGCGAGATTCAAGGGGAAAAACAAATAAATTCGCGTGTTTGGGCCGTCCGCTTCCCTTATTAAGAGCAAGATAAGATCACGTGACCAACGTAGCATGTCACAATAGCAACCCCAGTGTCTCCATGAGCCTATAGCGCCCATATGCGTGCTTGCTCCATAAAATTTGGTTCTCTTTCGCCATACGCACCCCAGCAATTTGGCAAACGGGATGTTTCGGTGTGCAAATTAAACGGGCCAAAGTCATTCGCGGTAGTGGTAAAAAAAAACGCATGCATGGTTAATGGGTCAAGTTAACATTGATGTACATGTTTATAATAAACGCAAGGTAATTCTTTTGGTCGCTGTATACCATTTACGGGTGTGGTTGGCGCTCTCGAAATTCTGACATACCTAACTACGAAGACAAGCAAATGAGAGCGGAAGCCATTAATAAACTTTCGGGATAACATGTGAACCGCGGACGTCGTGTGATGCCTTTTGGTGGCAACCACTGGCGACCAGGATATCGCGCCCGGGGTTGTCACGTGGGGAGCTTGCATGTCTGGTGATATAGAGCTGCAAGCTCTATATCAGGTTTGGTGGCACTGCAGAAGTATATTCCTGTATACGTTGACGGAGAAGGTTCAGGGGTTCGTTCGCTGGAAACAGCCGCCCCTGCGAGGCCCTTTCGGGGGTTTTGCTTCGCTAGCTGTAGCCTAGACAGGTTCTATTGTCTAGACAGTTTCGCTGCTAAAACCAAACACATCTCACCAAGAA